AATGCAATGTGAAAGCTTTCTTTTTTTTTTTTTTCATTTTATATCCATACATTTGCTTTCCTACTGAAGCCCCTAACCATTATCTTCAGTCTGAAATAGAAGCGGTAAAATCATGAGTGTAAAGGTTGGGGAAAAGAATGAAAAAGACACTTCCTGCATAGTTAGTAGCAGGAAATACCAGAATCTCATTCAAAATATTCATTTCCCTACAGATTTCTTTTTATTCCACCTATTATTTTTATTTTTGTTTTTAAAAATCAATATCTTATCTGCTGAGTAAAAAATGAATATGTTCCTTTTATACTTAGTATACTTGCTGCCCTTTTAAAAAAGCAATAAAACATTAGAAGAACTGTGGGATAATTGGAAACATAAAACAAATAATGTTATGATAAGACAGAATAATGTAGTGGACAGAGGATCAGTGGAGAATCAAACATATTGGTAGGTTAGCCCCATATGTCAACTACTAGCTCTGTGACTTTGGGAAACATATCTTTCAGGATTTTTTCTTTATACATAGTGAAGTTGATAATGCCTAACTTATTGGATTATTGTGAGGACTCAGTAAGATATGTATAATGTATCTAGTATATTGCAATCAACAACAAATAACACTGTTACAAAATTAATAGAAACAGAAAATACCTAATGAGCACTTATTTTGAGCCAGGTGGTTGGCTTGAATGTTGTGGTACCTCATGGCATCAGGAACCAAAGCTCCTTCCCTTTTTTATTCTGCCACATGCAGCTTCAATTTCAGGTCAAAAATGGCAACTCAGAATTCAATGACAACATCCTTGTTCATCATAGCAACTATATAAGGGAATACATTTTTCCCCATTTAAGAATACTTTCCTCTTCCTCATGTAGCCACACCTAACTATAAAGGATACAGGAAAACATACTTTTACTTTGACTGCAGTTAAAAACTAGGAATTTTGTTATTGAGAGGAGAATTTCTTATTGAGCTAAATAAGAAATCTCTACTACACATATTTAACACATTAATTCTTCTATGTTTTGGTCCAAATAAGTTTTTAAAAATGCATTATTTTATTTCAGTAGGTGAGGTAGAAACAAAAGTAAAAAGAAACACCACTGACAAATTTGATCTAATTCCAGAGTTTGTCTCAGTCTAGCCCAAAGAGGATGTCTGATTAGAAAATTATTTTCTTGAAGCCTGAATATTAACACTATAGTTATTCTTTCTTTTCCTCTCCCTCCTTCCCTACATATCTTCCTCCCTCCCTCCCTCTTTTCCATCTTTCCTTCCTTCCTTTCCTTTCTCTCACTTTCTCTCTGCTCTTTTGTTTTCTAAATAAGAACAAGAAATAACTTCTAAAAGTTCCATTCTTTAATGAAGCTCAAGTATATTTTATTTTTTCCAATCTAGAGCCTACAACAATTTAACTTTAAATAAAAACATATTATTCATCTGTGAAAAGGAAACTAAATTAAACCTTCTCTGATGATGAATGAAGTAAACAGATTCAACAGGCAGACTCAGGAAAGACTGGAGAAAATAGCATAACAACTAATTTCTACTTTCATTAAAAATCATGTTTAAAATATCTTAATTCATTTTTACATATGTTTTTCTTCCCATATCTTCATATTTTATATTCTGGAATTTTCTAATTTCCTGATTCCCATCTTTGTTTATTTCTTTTGTAATATTGCATAGTAAGTACTATAGACATAGTATTCTAGTAGCAAGAGTTCATATATTAATTTATAAGGAGAATGACTGTCTTAATAATTCATATCACATGCTATAAATATCTCTATTGGTTTTCAAGGGCTGCCATAACAAATTACCACACACTTGTTGAACTAAAACAACATCAATTTCTTCTTCCATGGTTCTGATTATGATTAACATCTTAATCTTAAATTAAGATGTTAGCAGAGGTTTTTTTTTTTTTCTGGACATTATAGGGAAGAATCCATTCCATGCCTCTCTCCTAATTTTTAGAGGCTGCTAGGAATCCTTGGTGTTCCATAGTTTGTGGCTATATCACTCCAGTTTCTATTTCTGTCTTTACGTTGACTTTTTCCTTGTGAAGTCATGGCATTTGTAATGGCATTTTGGACTTACTTGGTTAATTCAGACTAGTCTCATCTCAACATTCTTAATTTAATTACATTTGCAAAGACCATTTTTCAAAATAAGGTAATGTTTAAAAATTGCAGAGGACTGGATGGCTTTGGGTGGGCATTATTCAACCAACCACAATACTTTTTAGATGTTTTTTAACCCGTAATCTTTTATGATATTAAAATACTCAATAGTACTAGAGGTCAGTTCTTTATACTGGATGTAACATGGTTTACATTTAGTAGATTTTGTCACTTTAAAACCATTTTAATAAAATATATTTTTCAAAAGTAAGTAAAATTCTTGAGCCACTTTATGTGTATATCACTTGACAGTTAGTTTCAGGAGTAGAAAAAAAGACTTCCAAGTAACTAATCTGCAAACCATAAGCTCTCCTCATTCTGATTGTTCCTTATCTTCTCTCACAAGTACTTTAGCAAAATTTACGGCATTATAAATAATAGAAAGTGGTAAAGATCATAATGCCAAGGGCTTCATAGTCTTAAGTAGACATTCACCAATCTTGGGTAGAATATTCAGCTTCTCTCTTTCACTAATACTGTAAACCTACTAGTTTGTATGCAGATACTCAACTTATGCATAATTCTATACTGGAAAATATTCAGGCTGCAAAAGCTCTGAGAAGTGTCAGAGAAGATTCTTCATATACATAGTACTTAATTGCACTGGCATAGTTTGGCTATTTGGCTCCTCCAAATCTCATGTTGAAATGTGATCCTCAGTGTTGGAGGTGGAGTCTAATGGAAGGTATTTAGGGCATGGGGACAGATCTCTCATGAACAGCTTTGTGCCTTCTCCACCCCATGATAGAGCGAGTTCTTGTTCTATTAGTTCTGGAGATCTGGTTGTTAAAAAGGGTCTGGTGAATCTCTTCTCTCTTTTTGCCATGTAACATGCATGTTTCCCCCTCACCTTTCACTGTGATTGAGGCCCTCACTAGAAGCAGATGTTGGTGCCGTGCTTCTTACACAGCCTGCAGAATCATAAGCCAAATAAACCTCTTTCTAAAATAAATTATTCAGCCTCAGGTGTCCCTTTACAGCAACACAAAGTAGGCTAATACATGCACTTCTTTCAATTAAAGTTTTTATTAATTTTTCTATAGCTCTTCTTTCAAAATGCTTCAATTCCTTGTGAAAGATGATGATTAAAATAGCTTTTGAAATTATTTTGTGGTAGCAATTTTGATTTATTAGATGGAAGAAGAAGAAGAAAAAAGAAAGAAGAAGAAGAAAAGGAAGAGGAAAAAAGAGAGTTCAATGAGAAAGTTTAGATAATTCAGGCAAAAGATAGCCTGGGATGAATCAGTCTTTTCATTATGGATTGAGGGTAAAGGGCAGACTTTAGAGAGAAAGTGTAAGGAAAAAGCAAAATGAAACATGCTGAATATCTGTGATAAGGGTAAAGAGAAATTACACGGTGGGAGGAATAAATTAACATGCATTTTTTTAAGTTCATTTGTCCACATCACAGGCCAAACGTGGTATTTGTCTTTCTTCTATCAATAGTTTGAATTAGATAAAATTGCCAGGCTTGGAGCACTCAAACTTTATAACTGTTTGCATTATTATTTTTCCTTCCCAAGAGTGTAGCAGAAATAACTCACTACGTTGATAATTGATAAAAGAAGCAACCGAGACTATTATCACTTAAGAATTAAACAGAGGAATATTTACTATTTCAGTGACATCCTATAAATAGATTTCCTTAGAGATCATAAAAGAAAGATAATAATGGCTAAGTCTAAATAAATAATATTTTGCTGATTTTTATCCTTCAGGGATGATTTTCTGTGATTCAGATTTAAAGTGAAACCAGTGTTATTACTCATAAAGGATTTGGGGTATCCACTTAGTCATGGGACCCATGTCTCACAGACTATGGCCCGAAAGAAAATAGCAAGAATTTAAGGAATATCTAAAGCTGGGCAATTTATTTATAAAGGAAGTTTATTTGGTTTATGATTCTGCCATTTATTTAACACATTCTGTATTTCTCATGATACAACAAGAGATTCAATTTTCTGGTTTGCCTTCACGTCAAAAGAAGGGCTGGAGAATTGATTTGGTTGCTTTGTTAACAACCTCCTTTCCAAAGTCCTGTTTGAAAACTGAATTTCCAGATAGTTCAGTTCACCAAACTGGCCAGGACATTGACAGTATCTTTACTTCCAAAGGACTAGTGGAAGTGATCTATGAAGAAAGCTTCTTGTATTATATGCTATCCTTTGGCAACCAACATGGCGATCAGATTAAAGAAGAACTACAGGCCGGGCGCGGTGGCTCAAGCCTGTAATCCCAACACTTTGGGAGGCTGAGGCAGGTGGATCACGAGGTCAAAAGATCGAGACCATCCTGGTCAACATGGTGAAACCCCGTCTCTCCTAAAAATACAAAAAAAAAAAAAATTAGCTGGGCATGGTGGCACACGCCTGTAGTCCCAGCTACTCGGGAGGTTGAGGCAGGAGAATTGCTTGAACCCAGGAGGTGGAGGTTGCGGTGATCCGAGATCACACCATTGCACTCCAGCCTGGGTAACAAGAGCAAAACTCTGTCTCAAAAAAAAAAAAAGAACTACAGTTGCCTGTTTGAGCAGCACATTCTTCTAAAGTACAGAACTCAGAGCAGTAAAATAAGAAGCTATAATTTTGGATTTTAATTCTAACTCTGTCACTAGTCAATTGTGATCCTAGGCAAATTGGTTTTTTTGTCATATTGTATTTACAAAATGGGTATATTAATATGTCCTTAATTACTTTATAGAGTAGCTAGGAAGACCATATATGTATGTTTATATGTTTGTGTGTGAGTACTTTGAAAATAATATAATTATATAAGAAAAAAATTTTAAGTATTAATGAGACTAGTTCAGTACTTACTGGAGGAGAAATGCAGATGTGCATGTATGTATGTATACATGTACACACATATACATACATATGTGTATCATGACGTACATATTTGTTTGTATTTCTTTTTCTTGGCCTCTGCTCCATGCACACAAGGCTATGACTTCATTTAAGTAGTTCCATCTGGAACAAAAAGTAAAGTTGAGGAAGTAATGTGCCTTCTCAATCTTCCAGATCACATTTCTTTAGAGTTCAAGGTCTGGCATGCCTGGTCATAGTTTACAACATTTTATAAAACACGCACACACACACACACACACACATGCACACACACACACGCCTTCCTGAAACAATACAAATTCCTTTGGAAAGGCATCTAGAGCCAATATTCAGCAAGTTTCAAAAAACACCTAATGTGAACCTTTACTCTTGGAGCAGCCAGCAGGATCTCTGCTTTGCTAGAGCATTTATGGGAAACACATGCAAAGAAGATGCTAATTGCAGAACACTCACAGAGTGGTGAATTTTCAATTTATTTCCCCCATATTAGATTACTGAAAAGCAGTAGAATAAGTGTAACTCATGGGTCCCCAAGGCAGAAATTTTACCTGTATTAGCGCAAAGTAAATTTCCTGCAGAAATGGACTCTTTCCTTTGGTGGTCTCCTTTAATGATAAGCTTTGTTTTGCTGCACTCTGAGCTATGTTAGCGTCCATTGAAGGCTCTTTTCTGCACATTATTTGTATCTATAGTACTTTAAAACATTTTTTTATTGCATTTTAGGTTTTGGGGTACATGTGCAGAGCATGCAATACAGTTGCATAGGTACACACATGGCAGTGTGTTTTGCTTCCTTTCTCCCCTTCACCCACATTTGGCATTTCTCCCCAGGCTATCCCTCCCCACCTGCCCCTCCCACTGGTCCTCCCCATTTCCCCCCAATAGACCCCAGTGTTTCGTACTCCCCTCTCTGGGTCCATGTGGTCTCATTTTTCATCACCCGCCTATGAGTGAGAATAGGCGGTGTTTCATTTTCTGTTCTTGTGTCAGTTTGCTGAGAATGATGTTCTCCAGATTCATCCATGTCCCTACAAATGACACGAACCCATCATTTCTGATTGCTGCATAATATTCCATGGTGTATATGTGCCACATTTTCCCAATCCAGTCTATCATCAACGGGCATTTGGGTTGGTTCCAGGTCTTTGCTATTGTAAACAGTGCTGCAATGAACATTCGTGTACATGTGTCCTTATAGTAGAATGATTTATAGTCCTTTGGATATATACCCAGTAATGGGATTGCTGGGTGAAATGGAATTTCTATTTCTAAGGCCTTGAGGAATTGCCACACTGTCTTCCACAATGGTTGGACTAATTTACATTCCCACCAACAGTGTAAAAGTGTTCCTTTTTCTCCACATCCTCTCCAGCATCTGTTGTCTCCAGATTTTTTAATGATCGCCATTCTAACTGGCATGAGATGGTATCTCAATGTGGTTTTGATTTGCATCTCTCTGATGACCAGTGACGATGAGCATTTTTTCATAAGATTGTTGGCCTCATTTATGTCTTCTTTCGTAAAGCGTCTGTTCATATCCTTTGCCCACTTTTGAATGGGCTTGTTTCTTTTTTTCCTGTAAATCTGTTTGAGTTCTTTGTAAATTCTAGATATCAGCCCTTTGTCAGATGGGTAAACTGCAAAAATTCTTTCCCATTCTGTTGGTTGCCGATTCACACTAGAGACTGTTTCTTTAGCTGTGCAGAAGCTGTGGAGTTTCATTAGGTCCCATTTGTCTATTTTGGCTTTTGTTGCCAATGCTCTTGGTGTTTTGTTCATGAAGTCCTTGCCTACTCCTATGTCCTGGATAGTTTTGCCTAGATTTCCTTCTAGGGTTTTTATGGTGCCAGGTCTTATGTTTAAGTCTTTAATCCATCTGGAGTTAATTGTAGTGTAAGGTGTCAGGAAGGGGTCCAGTCACTGCTTTCTGCACATGGCTAGCCAGTTTTCCCAACACCATTTGTTAAACAGGGAATCCTTTCCCCATTGCTTGTTTTTGTCAGGTTTATCAAAGATTGTATGGTTGTAGATATGTTGTGTTGCCTCCGGTGCCTCTGTTCTGTTCCATTGGTCTATATCTCTGTTTTGGTACCAGTACCATGCTGTTTTGATTACTGTAGCCTTGTAGTATACTTTGAAATCCGGTAGTGTGATGCCCCCTGCTGTGTTCTTTTTGCTTAGAGTTGACTTGGCTATGCGGGCTCTCTTTTGGTTCCATATGAAGTTCATGGTGGTTTTTTCCAGTTCTGTGAAGAAAGTCAATGGTAGCTTGATGAGTATAGCATTGATTCTGTAAATTACTTTGGGCAGTATAGCCATTTTCACAATATTAATTCTTCCTAACCATGAACATGGACTGTTTCTCCATCTGTTTGTGTCCATTCTGATTTCGTTGAGCAGTGGTTTGTAGTTCTCCTGGAAGAGGTCCCTTATGTTCCTTGTGAGTTGTATTCCAAGGTATTTTATTCTTTTTGTAGCAATTGTGAATGGCAGTTCATTCTTGATTTGGCTCTCTTTAAGACTGTTATTGGTGTAGAGGAAGGCTTGTGATTTTTGCTCATTGATTTTATATCCTGAGACTTTGCTGAAGTTGCTTATCAGTTTCAGGAGTTTTTGGGCTGAGGCAATGGGGTCTTCTAGGTATACTATCATGTCGTCTGCAAATAGAGACAATTTGGCTTCCACCTTTCCTATTTGAATACCCTTTATTTCTTTTTCTTGCCTGATTGCTGTGGCTAGAACTTCCAGTACTATATTGAATAGGAGTGGTGACAGAGGGCATCCTTGTCTAGTGCCGGATTTCAAAGAGAATGCTTCCAGTTTTTGCCCATTCAGTATGATATTGGCTGTTGGTTTGTCATAAATAGCTTTTATTACTTTGAGATACGTTCCATCAATACCGAGTTTATTGAGGGTTTTTAGCATAAAGGGCTGTAGAATTTTGTCAAATGCCTTCTCTGCGTCAATTGAGATAATCATGTGGTTTTTGTTTTTGGTTCTGTTTATGTGGTGAATTACGTTGATAGACTTGCATATGTTGAACCAGCCTTGCATCCCTGGGATGAATCCTACTTGATCATGATGAATAAGTTTTTTGATTTGCTGTTGCAATCGGCTTGCCAATATTTTATTGAAGATTTTTGCATCTATGTTCATCATGGATATTGGCCTGAAGTTTTCTTGTTGGGTCTCTGCCGGGTTTTGGTATCAGGATGATATTGGTCTCATAGAATGATTTGGGAAGGATTCCTTCTTTTTGGATTATTTGAAATAGTTTCAGAAGAAATGGTACCAGCTCCTCTTTGTGTGTCTGGTAGAATTCGGCTGTGAACCCATCTGGACCTGCGCTTTTTTTGTGTGGTAGGCTCTTAATTGCTGCCTTGACTTCTGCCCTTGTTATTGGTCTATTCATAGTTTCAGCTTCCTCCTGGTTTAGGCTTGGGAGGACACAGGAGTCCAGGAATTTATCCATTTCTTCCAGGTTTACTAGTTTATGTGCATAGAGTTGTTTGTAATATTCTCTGATGATGGTTTGAATTTCTGTGGATCTGTGGTGATTTCCCCTTTATCATTTTTTATTGCATCTATTTGGTTGTTCTCTCTTTTATTTTTAATCAGTCTGGCTAGTGGTCTGTCTATTTTGTTGATCTTTTTAAAAAACCAGCTCTTGGATTTATTGATTTTTTGAAGGGTTTTTTGTATCTCAATCTCCTTCAGTTCAGCTCTGATCTTAGTTATTTCTTGTCTTCTGCTGGGTTTTGAGTGTTTTTTGATCTTACTCCTCTATCTCTTTCAATTTTGACGATAGGGTGTCAATTTTAGATCTCTCCATTCTTCTCATATGGGCACTTACTGCTATATACTTTCCTCTAGAGACTGCTTTAAATGTGTCCCAGAGATTCTGGCATGTTGTGTCTTCGTTCTCATAGGTTTCAAAGAACTTCTTTATTTCTGCCTTCATTTAGTTGTTTATCCAGTCAACATTCGCGAGCCAGTTGTTCAGTTTCCATGAAGCTGTGCGGTTCTGGGTTGGTGTCTGAATTCTGACTTCTAACTTGATTGCACTATGGTCTGAGAGGCTGTTTGTTATGATTTCAGTTGCTTTGCATTTGCTGAGCAGTGCTTTACTTCCAATTATGTGGTCAATTTTAGAGTAGGTGTGATGTGGTGCTGAGAAGAATGTATATTCTGTGGATTTGGGGTGGAGAGTTCTTTAAATGTCTATCAGGTTTGCTTGCTCCAGGTCTGAGTTCAAGCCCTGGATATCCTTGTTAATTTTCTGTCTGGTTGATCTGTCTAATATTGACAGTGGAGTGTTAAAGTCTCTCACTATTATTGTGTTTGAGTCTAAGTCTCTTTGTAAGTCATTGAGAACTTGCCTTATGTATCTGGGTGCTCCTGTATTGGGTCCATATATATTTAGGATCGTTAGCTCTTCTTGTTGTATCGATCCTTTTACCATTATGTAATGGCCTTCTTTGTCTCTTTTGATCTTTGTTGCTTTAAAGTCTATTTTATCAGAGATGAGAATTGCAACTCCTGCTTTCTTTTGCTCTCCATTTGCTTGGTAAATCTTCCTCCATCCCTTTATTTTGAGCCTTTGTGTATCCTTGCATGTGAGATGGGTTTCCTGGATACAGCACACTGATGGGTTTTGGCTTTTTTTCCAATTTGTCAGTCTGTGTCTTTTGATTGGTGCATTTAGTCCATTTACATTTAGGGTTAATATTGTTTTGTGTGAATTTGATACTGCCATTTTGATGCTAGCTGGCTGTTTAGCCCGTCAGTTGTTGTAGATTCTTCATTATATTGATGCTCTTTAGCATTTAGTGTGATTTGGAATGGCTGGTGCTGGTTGTTCCTTTCTATGTGTAGTGCCTCTTTTAGGAGCTCTTGTAAAGCAGGCCTGGTGGTGACAAAATCTCTGAGTACTTGCTTGTTTTCAAAGGATTTTATTTTTCCTTCACTTCTGAAGCTCAGTTTGGCTGGATATGAAATTCTGGGTTGAAAGTTCTTTTCTTTAAGGATGTTGAATATTGGCCCCCACTCTCTTCTGGCTTGTAGAGTTTCTGCCGAGAGAGCTGCTGTGAGTCTGATGGGCTTCACTTTGTGGGTGACCCGACCTTTCTCCCTGGCTGCTCTTAGTATTTTCTCCTTTATTTCAACCTTGTTGAATCTGACGATTATGTGCCTTGGGGTTGCTCTTCTTGCAGAATATCTTTGTGGTGTTCTCTGTATTTCCTGCAGTTGAGTGTTGGCCTGTCTTTCTAGGTTGGGGAAATTTTCCTGGATAATGTCCTGAAGAGTATTTTCCAGCTTGGATTCATTCTTTTCATCACATTCTGGTACACCTATGAAATGTAGGTTAGGTCTCTTCACATAGTCCCACATTTCTTGGAGACTTTGTTCATTCCTTTTTGCGCTTTTTTCTCTGATCTTGGTTTCTCGTTTTATTTCATTGAGTTGATCTTCGACTTCTGATATTCTTTCTTCTGCTTGGTCATTTCGGCTATTGAAACTTGTGCATGCTTCGCGAAGTTCTTGTATTGTGTTTTTCAGCTCCTTTAATTCATTCATATTCCTCTTCAATGTATCCATTCTTGTTATCATTTCCTCAAATCTTTTTTCAAGGTTCTTAGTTTCTTTGCATTGATTTAAAACATGTTCTTTTAGCTCACAAAAGTTTCTCATTATCCACCTTCTGGAGTCTAATTCCATCATTTCATCACAGTCATTCTCCATCCAGCTTTGTTCCCTTGCTGGTGTGGAGTTTTGGTCCTTTCTAGGTGGCGAGGTGTTCTG